ACAAACACTGAAAGAACAATGAAAGAAGCACAAAAAAATGCCAAAAGAAGACACCAAAGAAACAACGAAAAAATACTGAAGGAACGATGAAAAAAGCACCAAAGGAATGATGAAAAAGACACCAACTAAAAGAATGATGAAAAAAGCACCGAAAGAATGTTAAAAAAAACACTGAAGAAACAATGAAAAGATGCCAAAAGAATGTCAAAAAAATGATGTAAAAAGTGTAAAAAAAACCATAAAAATCATTGAAAAAACACATAAAAGGCAACAAAAAAAAAAAAAACATACCAAAGGAATGACATAAGAGGCACCAAAAGAACGTCATAAAGGCCACCAAAAAAAACGTAGTAAAGGTCACTGAAAGAACGTCATAAAAAGTACCCAAAAGAGCGTCGTAAAAAGAACTGAAAAAAATGAAAAAAAACATTTAGTTGATCGCGTTTAATATAAAATGGAAAATGCGTGATGTGGTGTAAAATTGTAACGGTAATCACATGCTGGAAAAAATTTTGGAGGTTAATTATTAGATATTAAAAATACGAGTGTCTTCTATGCTGTGGCTGAATAGTTACACAAAATCATTCTGCTTATAAGACATGTTGAAAAGTATTGCACGCACATGATATATTTATTATTAGTTGGGAGGCAAGCATCTGGCCAACAGTGCCAGATGTTAAACTTTATTAAATGATTATTTATTGAGAATATGCAGCGTACATCGGTGCGATTGATGTACAAACTGAGACGGGATATACACCCAGAGATACAACTATAATTGCGCCGGGTATCACCGTCATCAGCAGAAATTTGTGATGTGTAGCATTAGTCGGTGGTTTCCCGCACTGCATAAAGCAGGCCGACTTGATACGAAGTTTAAAGATATAACAAATGGCAGGATTCTGCCTGGCTTCCAAAGATAATTAGAATCCTGCTGTTTTATCGGATTATCTGTGTTTATATGTGTATATATATATATATCTTTCGACGTTGATACGTACGTATGTCGATATCGACTTGGGCATGTCTCTATGCACGTTAATGATTCTGTTGACGATCAGGTTCCAAAGTTTATATGACTATCGTTAACCAGAATATTTAGTATTTCTCTCAAGATTTATGCTACATCTGCAGGTTGCATTCATCTGTATCTATAGTTGGCCAATAGGTCATAACAGGTCATAGGCTAACACTGATATAATGCGTTTGACACCGTCTATCTATTCTTTGGCTCAATGGTAGCTGTATGCAACACAATGCCAATTCTGTTGTGTCCCCGCACAAAAATTTGAGTCTTTATGAACCGGTTCTTAGTTATTGCTTGATAGTTATTTTTTTTCCCCATAATCTATTTAAACTTTGCAATTGATTCATCGTATTTGCATATTATATGGTAAGTTTCTCTGAGTTTCTAACACGAATGCATTGTCGGGTCGATTTATAATGGTTTGCTTAAATCTGCTGATGACTTACAATGCATGCTCTTATCTGATATTGTATTGCACTTTCTTGATACAAGAACATTATTGTCAAGGAGTTCCTTAACTCCTAGGGGTTTTCACTCAATTCGCACTAACAAATAGCGCTTGCTTGGTTATACGGGACTGGAGTATCATACCAGTTACTCCCACCTTTAATTCCATATACACTAACACACAGTTTATACTTTAAGCATCTTTATTAATTAACTACTAAAGCTAAGTTAAGACTAACTCTAAAGCTAAAATCAACTGTTTTTATTTTCAAGATCTTATCTCGTTTAAATAATCAAGATCATGCAACGCATTAATTACATGAACCCAATCTTATGCAGATTATGGCACCACGAAATCCAGGGGCACAATTTAATCATGTTATGAACTACACCCCAGAACTTTGTCCTCGAAGTTACAACCCATGCAAAACCAAATTCTAACACAAATTAACTACATACATGCTAAATCTAATTTTATTCTATTAACACAAATCATTGCACACTAAAACTAATAAGCATACAAATATTAATTTTACAAACAGCTTCAAACATCACATGATCCCAACCTCAAGCAATTCCAATGTCCATTGTTATAATCATATCTGTGTTTTCATCATCTATACCAAAATCCTAGTTCTATGTCAATAACAGTATCCAACATTATTCTTTCCAGCTTCAACTTTCTCATCAGTGGACTCAATCTTTCAGGTTATTTTATTATTTAGCAATAATAGGTTTTACATTCTTTCATCATTTGGTTGGCACATTCATTTGTTATTGGTTTGATCAGCTTCATCAAGGATCATTCTACTAACCAACCTTCTTTTATTATTCATTTTTTCTTTACTACTGATTGTTGTTATATTCTTTTCAATTTCCATTTTCATTTTCATTACAAACACCAATTTCTTCACTTGATCATATGTCTCAGGTAGAAAAGACTCAATTTCATTACAATTTTTCAAACTGAAAACATACTAAAATCTCTTCTAATCTTCCGAAACCTCACTATTCATCATCATTATATGAATCTCATAGTGCTTAGAATACTCTTTTACACCTTTTCCATCATCTTGCTTTATCCCAAGATTCGTCTTAACTAATCAATACTATTTTCAAAAGACAGAAACTCAGGATATACCTCTTCAATTGATCCTTGATAAACAGACTTCTAATCATTACTTTCAATTCTATTTTTAGAACAACATCCAAGATTATAAGCTATATCAATGTGACTTTCATCATTATTGTTCATGAATTCTCTTACTATCAGCACTTTTTTATCACAGTATATACTACAACTCTTTTTCTGTATATTATTATCCACTTTGAGTGGTGTATCAGGTAAGTCCTCAAATTTTATTTATCTTTTCGACATGATCTATCATTCTTTTGACTCAATCCATCATATTTCATAAGTTTAATATTCACAGTACTTTCAGCAGTTTCATCAACACAATCAATTTCAGGATCAAGATCTTTTGGGTGTTTACCATTTATTACTCAAGTATCAGCTACGTGTTCTCTTTTGAGTCTTTTCCTATTAGCATCCTTTACATTCATCATACTAACAACTCTATTCTTCCTCATATAATTATCACCATTCTTTATCAATTCATTTTTAGTATTTATAATTCTAATACTCTTCTTAATGTCCTTCTTATCTCCAACACCATTTTTGTTATAATGACTAACCATAAACATTTTATCACCATGACTCTCAACTGAAGATTTTTGATGATGCTTAAATGTTACCTTCTTGTTGAAACTTTTAGGTTTGTCTTTCATTTTCGTCTTTTTTTTAATGTCCAAATAACCTTGATCACTTATATTAACTACTAATTTTTTTGCTTTTAATTTATTACTAATGATCTTCATACTACTCCAATGATTGCCACTTTTATATTTCCTAGCACCACCATTCTTTTCTTAATGAACCTGAGGAACCTTATATTACCTATCAGATTTGTTTTATCTACTTTTCCTTTTATTGATTAATTTTATTAATTTTCACCACCCTTTTATTGTTTTATTATTGTTTTTAACCTTCTTTCTATACCTTTTATTTCATTCAACACCATTAAGACTCCTTTCATCAACATCAATACAACTTATTTCTATTCACTTAGGGTTCAAGTGTCAGTTTTGATTCTTCAAAGATGGACATAAATGCGTCAATTGCCCTTTGCAATGATATATATAACATAAACGTGACCTACATTTTTGTCGCTTTCATTGAGCTGTCCTAAAATAGTTCATAATCTTTTGAACTACCAGTTCTATTAACGAAGCTAGAAGATTACCACCTTCTATTTTCTTTATTTCACCACTTAGATATATATTGTCTTTATTCAATTACAATGTTTTTTTTTTCATCTTGATTATATACAAATGCTACAAAGGCACTTCAAGTCCTTGAAATCCAAACAGATATGACCTTTTTTATAAAGCACAGGCCTAACGTCTATAAAATTCAGCAAGGAAAGGCTATTCTCTTACCTAGGTTCTTGTGTCAAGAAGTTCCTTAACTTCTAGGGGTTTTCACTCAATTTGCACTAACAAATAGCACTCACTTGCTTATACAAAACTAGAGTATCATACCAATTACTCCCATCTTTAATTCCACATATACTAACACACAGTTTATACTTTAAGCATTTGTATTAATTAACTACTAAAGCTAAGCTAAGATTAACTTTAAAGCTAAATTAACCATTCTTATTTTCAAGATCTTATCTCATTTAATAATCAAAATTATGCAATATGTTAGTTATACAAACCTAATCTTATACATATCACAGCACCATGAAATCCAGGAGCATAATTTAACCCATATTAATTATCCAAAACAATTGCTGATGATTGTTTTGATTTCTAAATGATTCTTCTTATTTCTTTTGCATCTGATAAGTTTTTGTTGATTTAAATCTTTATATCTATTCATTATATGATAAGTCATTCACAGTTTGATATGAAATGCATTATTTGAATTAATTTCTAATAATTTATTTAAATCGACTAGTGATTCTCCATATCTGTTCATCATGTGATAAGTTTTTTTATGGTTTGCTAATATAAATGCATTATCTGAATTAATTTCTAATGATTGATTAAAATCTATTGGTGACTTTTTGTATTTGTTCAAATAGATAAAAAGTTACACCACAGGATCATAATGTGGATGCATTATTAGAATTAATTTTTTGATAATTTATTTAAATCTGTTGGTGACTTTTTGTATTTGTTTATCAGATAAAAAGCTATACTACGGGATTCTAATATAGATGCATTATTAGGATTAATTTTTTAATGATTTATTTAAAACTGCTAGTAATTATAAGATAAGTTACTCTATGATTTTTTAATGCAAATTCATCATTAATGTCTAATGATTTATTTAAATCTTCAGTAAAATTTGGATTAATCTCTAATAATTTATTCAAATTTGCTAGTGATTCTTCATATTTGTTCATCATTTGATAAGTTGTTCTGCATTTATTTAATGCATCTGTATTATTTAGATTAATTTTTAAATGATTTATTTAAATATATTAGTGATTCTTTATATCTGTTCATCATTCAATTAGTTGTTCTGAATTCATTTATTGTGGTTTGCAAAATTATGTGAAATTTGAAGATCATTAAAAAAAAGCAACCACTAATTTCTGATTTCTTTAACATTTTTTTGACTTTTAGATTTGACAAAATTTGCGTATTTATTATATATAAAAATTTGATTGAATATTTTAATTCACAACTCCTATTTCTGCAAATTTATTATTAAATGCTAAATATACAACCTTTATTTCTATAAAAATAATAACCACAAATTTTGTCTAATCTAAAGTCAAAAAAATGTTGAAAAAATTAAAAATCAGTAATCAGAAATCAGTGATTAATTTTTTTTAATGATTTTCAAATTTCATAATTTTGTAAGCAGCAATAATATGTCTGCATTATTTGAATTAATTTCTAATGATTTGTTTAAATCTGCTAGTGATTGTTCATCTGTCCATTATTCAATAAACTTTTCCACAGCTTGCTAATGCAAATGCATTACCAGAAGTAATTTTTAATGATTTATTTAAATCTGCTAGTAATGTCTGTTAATGTTGCAATAAGTTGCACTACACTCTGCTAATATAATTGCATTATTTGAGTTAATTTCTAATTATTTGTTCAAATCAGCTAGTGATTCTTCATTTTTGTTATCTTGTGATAAGTTACTCCATGCTCTGCTAATAATATTGCATTAATTAGATTTATTTCTAATGATTTATTTAGACCTGCTAGTGATTCTTTAAATCTGTTCATCATCCTATAAGTTACCTCATGACCTGCTAATGTAAATACATAATTTGCATTAACTTCTAATGATTTATTTAAATCTTCTAATGATTCTTCAATTTTATTTTATTTTAGCAGCATCTTTGACCATAACTTTATTATTATATATTCTGATAAGTTACATTTTATAGTTATATCAGTATTTTTACAACAACTTAAATTAAGCTATGATTTAGAAATAATTTATTCTCAGATGCAGGCTACTAAATATATCCTAATCCTGTACTATTATTTGTATATTGAATTTTTTATACTAAGACTATAATTATCTTTTGATCTACTTATTGTATTCTCTATATCTCTTATACCTATCCAAAGCAACTTCTAAGCAGATGGATCCCAAATAGGCCTAGGCCTTTGTACTCCTTATGGTGTACTTTCTAACTTAGTGATAGCTCTATATCAACTGTTTCTGCTAGTATTGAGTCCAAACTTTTCTACAGTTTTGCTACCTTCTATTAAACAACTCCTTGTACAACTAAACCACCACATCAATATATGTTAGAGTGTACTAATATATCAAATCAGAATTAAAATGCTATGTTTCTATACCTTTATATAAAGGCTCTCATATATTGGTTAGGTACAAGCTATATTGTATAACTGAGTTACTCTTGACTAGGTTTGTGATATATAATACCACTTCTAGCTTTCATTCGAATTAGTTGATATTTTAATGTTGGTATGCTCTTGTATTGCAGTTGTACTCTGTTTGTATTACTACTACCAGTCTGCTTCTTCTAGCCTAATTTGAGTTTTTATATGCCTCTGTATATTGATCTAACTTTCTACAGGTAGAACCTTTTCAACTTTATTCTTTCATACATTGTTAAAAGTGCTTCTAATTTTTGGTAAGGCTAATTCTTTACTATAGATTGTCTTCATATTTACTACCTCACTCACTACTCCAGTTTTAGTAGAATTATATTACTCTTCCAAACAAGTCTTTATACTATAATTTCAAATCAGAACTTATATACACAATTCAGTGATCACCCTTCTAAGCAAGTATTCTACAAGTTTGATATAGAGATCTTGGTATTGCTTTAAATAGTGAAGAAGAGATGTTGTTGCTGACAAGGACTTATATGCATAATTGTTTCTACTGAACCTTCTGTAATACCACTATCATACATAGTGCTTACACTCTATAATTAGATTTCTTTTTAGAAATTCTTATTCCAGAACTGTACTTGTATTTGGATTTTTTACAAGGCTTCACATTCTATTATAGCTTTATATAGATTACAGTAGCAAATTCAAAAATTTGTCACTAGCCCGACTCTAATTATTGACCTTGTTTGTGGAGGTTTGAGAGCTTAACCAATAAGCTACAGAGTCCAAACCTCCTCTTATGGTTCTTTGTATTTGTTCATCATGTGATAAGTCATTTTATGCTTTCTTAATACATCTGCATTATTCAGTTTAATGCCTATAATTTATTAAATCAACCAGTGATTCTTCATATTTGTTCATCTTAAAATATATTGCACTATGATTTTTTTAATGCAAAATTATCATTTAAATTAATTTTTAATAATTTATTTACATCTGCTAGTAATTCTTCATATTTATTTATTTTAAAATATGTATATTAATATAAAAGAATTATTTAAATTAATTTCTAATAATTTCTTTAGATCTGCTAGTAATTCCTTGTATCTGTTCATTATAAAAACTTGTATCACAATATGCTAATACAAATGCATTATTTGGATTGATTTTTAATAATTTATTTAAATCTGCTAGTGATTATTTATTATAAGATAATACACATTCATTTAGTGCATTTGCATCATTTGAGTTAGTTTTTAATAATTTATTTAAATTTGTAGTGATTCTTTATGTTTATCCAACATGCATAGATTATACTGGTCTGATTTTTAATGATTTATTTAAATCCACTAGTAATTCTTTCATATTTATTTATTATGTGATAAGCCTTTCTATGCTATTTTAATGTAGATACATCATATGAATCTATTTCTAATAATTTATTTAAATCTGCTAGTGATTCTTTAAATTTATTTACCATGTAATAAGTTATATCATACTTGTTATATCATAAATTACACCATGATAACTTAATGTATTTGCATTATTTAGATTAATTTTTAATAATTGATTCAAATCTGCTAATGTTTTCTCACATTTATTTATCATAGTATGATTTTTAGAAATCAAATTTGAATAGTCTGAACTATGAGCTTATAATTAATTAAATCATTGTTGTAATTGATTAAAATTGTTCTATTGAATGAGTATAATTATTACTATTACTATATTATTAGGTAAAATAAATTCTTATGATTATAACTCAAAATATCTATCATTATACTAGTATCTTGTTTACTCTAATATTTGATAAGTTTCTCTTCAACCTCTTAGCGCTTCTGTACCATTTTGATACAATGTTACAAACTATTTAGATTTGCAAGTAGAAAACTTATCTAGAGGCAAACATCTGTACAATAATGACATATGTTTTTTGTATATTTATTCATTATTTAATAAATTACTTCATGTTATCT